GTACCTTGTTCATCAGTTTTCAGGTACAAAAACAGCATCTAAAGCATGAGACAAAGATGTTCAACACAGCAAATTCATCTTTTTGCATATTTTGAAGCCGTGGAAGTGAATTAGGAGATAGCTGCAGTTATCTCCTAGTGTTGCAGCAAAATAAAGATTATACTTTTCATTGGAAATATGATGTACAGCACTGGTTTCACCTTTTATCATCAATGGAGTTACATATAAAACCTGTCTTTTCAGGGCAGAACGCAAGGCATCCAAGCAGAAACACTCTGTCCCAACTTAAGTTCTATGCCAAAAAAGGGCTACAAGCCTTCAGAATCCTAAATTAAATCTTATGCTCAGATGGGTTTTAAACATTCCATTTTTCCTGGCCTGGATTCACAGTCTCTCATCATTAAATAGCACTTACAGCACTAATCAGAATTAGAGAGCGCATCATTCAATTATGCTGTCATATAAAACTATCTTTTGAAGGTTTTCTTTTAAATTGGTATGGTGGGTATTCCTAGGACTAAAGCAGACATGGATTGATTCTACAGTGAGTCTATTCTCACACAAATCTTAAAAGTGCTTTTATACTTGATGAGTCATACCCATAATTACAAACAGCTGAGTACAAAACTCAACAGATGCTTTCTTAAGCAGAAGGCTAAGGAAAGCTGGTAGGGTTCCACAGCACAAGAACATAAGAAAATATTTGGGGGCATGTACAGCATGCTCTGGTAGAGGAAGCAAATCTTGGTTTAGTATTACCCTGAGGTTTTGCAAAACTTCAAAAAAATTAAACTTTGACCTGTACAAACTCTTCATATACTTTCATTTCTCTTCATGCACAGAGCTGGATTAATAATTTCTTGTGCAATTTTTCCCAGGTGAAATAAGAAAATATAAAACCTGCTCAGTTGCTGTAGAGGGTCAGCTTGGTCCCATTTTCTGTGTATGTGCTCTCCAGTGACCTGTAAGTAAAGGAGCAAGATGCTGTTTACACGTCCTCAAATGGAGACAGCAGCAGTTTGTCCTTTTCAACAATCTCCCTACAGACCTGCAAAACTGTTCTGTGTGGTCTCTTTCCCTGATACACTTTCTAGAGTGCACAATGATTACTGAACACATTTTGCACCAAGGAGTGCTACAGAACAGGAAATGGAACAAGTATTATAGGTGTAATATGCATCTGCTGCATATTTGCTGTCTTTCCAAGTGGAAATAGAGGGGGCTCATATTTTACTGGCCACCATTTCAGAAGTAATACAACATATGCCCCTAATTAAAGGAATAAATGTTAACAGTAATTGTTCAAACTTTAAGCATAATGAGTATACAAAGAATATACTTAGAGGGCACAGGATATATACAGAAAGAAACTCCAAAAATAAATACTTTTAAAATAGCCCATTAGGAGACAATGAGTGTGTGAATTTGCAAACAACGGAAACAATTTATTTCCAAAAAAAAAAAAAAAAAAAAAAAAACAAACCCACAGGCATATCATAATCTAGTCATTTATTTCTCTGACAGTGGTATAGTCCCTCAAAAGAAACAAAAGAATCTCTATAATTAGTAACACTTAAAATCAACACTGCTGGAAACTATGCTTGGGTCAGAGTAGCTCCAGCAGAGAGCCAAATGACTGTCATGACTGTCATTGTGACAACCACAAGTGACCCCAGAATTCTTCTGTGGATAATTCCCAGTGAAATCTATAAGCACATGTAATGGTTTAAACTCTTGAGTGCTTGTGATATGAAAACATCAAAGCAGAAGTCTGTGCTTTAAATTACAGTATAAATTTGGAAAATTGTCAAATCTCTTTATGTAAGTTATGTATATTGAGGAAGAAGTCATACTGATAAACTTGTAATTCTTCTCCAAGGAAGAGAAAAATATCTCCTGTAGTAGCATGTTGCATGTTTACAGCTGTACATTATTTGTGCACAGCTGAGCAACAGTAAATAAATGAGAGAAAACTCACATTTTTTCATCCTTAGCACAGCTAAAAACCATATTACTCAATGGCTTTAACTGAGTATGCTTCAGCAGCTCCTGGTGAAGAATACAGTGGGTTCTTTGCTCCCCATGTATGGATCTGAGATCATTACACCCTTGCCCCTGCTAAAAGCCTTAAACATTAACTGGGGATAGGTGAAGGAGGGAAAGTAAGAGGGGTTTTTAAAGCAATTTTGAAAGATTAAAAGCACTGTACTTTCTCCACAACAGACTGGAAATTTCCCATCCAAGCCTGCACAGAGCAAGCAGCACATTTACAAAGATAAGAAAATTATGTGAATGAACCTGCTTTGTTCTTTGTGCCATTTACTAAATACAAGATACAAAATGACTATTAAAACTTTCTCAAAGGCAAAAAGTTTTGAAATTATACCAAAGTGATTGTTAGTCTTCTTCTCTTAAGGCTGTGCTATTATTTGATGGCTTTTACAAGTCAGCTTTGTCATAATTGCATTCATGATTTTTGTACAAAAGGGCATGACCCTTCTCACTGAAATGGATTGGGACTATTATAGACAGTGGAGACTCCATCCATGGTTACGTAAGTAAAACAGGCATCTCTGGGGAGATTTAAGTATCAAAATGAGATTAAGATATCTTATTACATTACTGGTCCAAAGGCTACCTCTGCATCTGCTCACCTCACAGGTTAAAGCCATGGCCAGTACTACTTTGCCAGACTATTCAGACCATTAGCTACCGACAATGAAAGTAAACAGTGTCTGTGCTTACTCTTACACTTCTTTCAAAAAGGATTATGAGCTTTTGAGGTTTAGTAGTGTTTTATCATCTTTTCTATGGTAGTTGATGCATAAAGACAGTAGAAACTGATGCTGCACTACACTTATTAGATCCAAAGCTTAAACTGTTAGTCTTTCCATTAAACAGTGATTTCTATAAAAATCTTCTTAACTGGCTGTGGTATCTCAGATATTCTATGCCACCATAAATTTTTTACTAAAGAAAATACAAGATGGTGTGCTTGGGCAGTATGTACCATGAAACAGCTGCTCTGCTGATGCTGCAAACTGGCTAGATAGGATTTGAGAGCAGTCCAGAGTTACCTGCCATCTTAGGAAGGTCTCCTGACACACCAACATATGTGAAGGGGGCTGCACAGCTCCCAGGCAAAAGATGACTTGTGTCTGGATGGCCTAGAGAGCAAGTAGAGGAGGTGACACATCCATGGGGGTACTGGGGCATATTTAGCTTCCCACTGAATGAGAATGGAAAGAGACCATGCACCTTGTTTCATGCTTATGGTGGACACTGCATTTAAGGAAGGAAAATTTAGTTTTACCCCGTGGAGAATTTTGCAGTTGTGCTGGTTTTGGTTAGAATAGAATGAATTTTCTTCTTTCTAGAGTAGCTAGTGTAGGGCTATGTTTTGGATCTTCCTTGAAAGCAGGATTGATAATTAAAAGTGAATAATAAAATGAAGTCATCTGATTCTTTCCCCCATCATGCTAATGGAAAGCTTGTTTGCTGACTGGGGTTAAACCACAATATAAACTGTGTTGTAAAACAGGTTTTTCTTTAAGTCATGGTGACTTCCAAACTTGATCTTCAGTCACAGTCTATTCCCTCTAAACTAATTCTGCCAGACGTCAGATGAATCTCAAGTAAGTTGGGATCCATGTTACCAGTAACTATACCACATCAGAGTCACAATATTCTTTTTTACTCCAGAAACGACCAACTTCAGACGAAGGGTGACAAGTCCCTGTATTAGGTAATTTCCTAACTGCGGCACCATGGCATGAATTACCAAATATAATTACCAAATTCAGGGAGGCCGGCGCTGTCTGCGCGGGGCCAGGGAAGGAGAGCCGGGCCCGGCGGGGCGCCAGCGCCACCAACACCGCGGCGGCTCCGGCGCGGCCCCCGCTCACGGCGGCCGTCCTGCTGCTCCCCCGTGGAACGAGGGCGCCTCTTGCGGCGTCACGGAGCTGTCTGAGGGCTTTTACCCCGGCGGGGATGGCGAGGAGAGCGCTGGGGCTGGGTCAGCGACGTCCGACACCCTCAGTCCCTGGCGGGGCAGCCGTGCCCTCACGCTCAAGGTGCTGAGCGCTGAGGCGGCGAGAGGAGCGCGGCCCTTGAGGGGAGCCTTTCAGCCTCCCGCGGGCCGCCGGCGCCGAGACCCGCCAAACAACGTCTGGAACCATTCCTGTGGAAAGTGGTTGAGGGAGCTGGCTTTGTTCAGTCCCGACCAGGCTCCGGGTGGACCTCACCGCTTTCCAAAACTGCCTGAAAGGAGGTTGTAGCGGGCTGGGGGCCGGCCTCTTCTGCCGTGCCCACAGAGGGGACCAGAGGAAATGGCTTTAAGCTGAGACGGCGGCTGTTGGGGTAGTCAGGCAATGGAATAGGTTGCCCAGAGCGGTGGTGGCGGCACTGTCCCTGCTGTTGTTTTAGAGGAAGAGGCGTCTGGATGTGGCGCTGGCTGATGTGGTTTAGAGATTTAGAGGTGATTATGATGGTGCTGAGTTGACGGTTCGACTGGGCGGTGTTAAAGATCTCTTCCAACCCCGACGAGTGCACGATTCCATGCCTCCGATTCTCCGAGGCGATGATTGCCTCCTGCGCCTCCACGCTCACCCGCCGCGGCTGCCGCGGGCAGGGAGGGAAGGGCCGCGGGGCCCCGCCCTCAGCTGCTGCTGCCCGGGCGCCCATTGGCGCCGCGCGGCGCCGCCCGGCCCCGCTGTACGGCGGAGGCGCGGCCGGGGACGGAGCGCCGCGACCGCGGGGACGCTGGTGGGTGCGCTGGGGTGTTGCGGGATGGCGATCGCGGGCGAGCCACCCGGGGGAGGCGCGGCTCGGTTCCTTGCGGGCGGGCTCACCGTGCTGTGAGCCGGGGCGGGGGTCGGTGAGGCGGGCAGGGACCGTCTGAGTTCCCCAGCGCTGGGCCGGGGCCGCCCCTTCTCGCTCTTTGTGTCCGCGTCTGGTCCTGCCGGCTCCGAGCGCCCCGCGGGGCCCCGTGGGTGACTCGGGGCTCCCCCGGGCCGCGCCGCCTCGCCCCGGGCTTGGCCCCGTCTCCCGGCGCTTTGCAGCCGTGCTGCAGTCACAAGGTGATGCCTCATGGATCGTCGGCGGCTCCTCTCGGCTGGAGAGGCTCGCCCAGTGCGGAGTTGGGTACGTGCTGCAGGGTTGTGTCCAAACCGACCTTTACGATGACAATCCGGGAGTTTTCGGTAACGCAAGTTGTTCAGAATGAGTCTTGTTCCTTCCTCTGAGTATCTATCTGCAGTGTTCTGTGGCATCTCGTGCTCTTCCTTTTCCTGACTCAAGTGTAGGTGTAGACATTACACTTGTCAGTAGATACTGCTTTTGAATGAACCTAAAGAACTTGAAACCACTTGTGAGACTGTTACCTTGATTAGCAGGTAGGTGAAACAGTAAAGGATCTTTCCCTGCTAGCTTGTGCCAGACTGGCACAATTTAACTACTGGCTAGTAGTTAAACATGATTATGTCACTGGAAAGCCAAACGTGAAAGGCACTCAGGATGCAGAAGAGCTAGAGACCAGTGTGATCCCTCTCCACAGGGGAAGAGTGAGAAGACTTGCCAGACAAGATCCAAAACCAGTGCGACTTTCACCTTTGTAATAAGGTGACTCAAAGTCTGCGTAGAGGACTCCTAGCCAGAGCTGCTTGGTGCAGGTACGTGACTGACTCCTGGCATACTTGCTGTCTGAAGATTTGAGCTGTGTTTTAAAATGGTTTGACTCTCAGAAACATCGGGTGCTGTGTAGCTGCTGTTAGACAAAGCCATTAAAAAACCCCAAAATGACACATTTGGAAAGCTACCTTGAATCTAAATAAAGAAAAAAATAACTTGGTTTTATCAGCAAACTTAATATTGGCATCTCAGTAATTTTTCCAATATATCAAGAATTAAGCTATGCCAGGGGGTATATACAACATAGTACTTCTGGTAATGGAATGTCAGAAGTGACTCTTACCATGTCAGGACAGACTTTTCATTAGAGCACCACGTGGATGTGACACTGACAGATAAAAATCTGGAGTCTGATGGATATTTTGCCAGCCATGCAATTGCCTCTGAAGTCAGCATGGTCTTAACACTGTAGGCCTGTTTCCAGTTCTGCATTAACTGTCTGACTTGCCTGACAGCAGTTACAGCATAAACCTCCTCCACTTGCTATGCTGCTGAAAAAGTCTGTCTGCTCTTAGAACTGTTGTCATGTCTGGAAAACATCTTGGGCTGCTACTCTCTCATCTCTCCATCTTGCTGTCTTCTGTAAACTACCAACTTCTGTGTGGTTTAGCTTGGTGCAACGTTTAAAAGTGAGTCTTGATTAAGGTACCACTACACCCCATGTGGGAACTAACTCCTGTTCCAGCCAATGCTATTAGGTATCAGCTTTTGTTCTGGAGTGTCTAACAATTGCCTGAATGCTAAGTTCTTGGAATACTGTCCACAGCTAATTAGTCACAGAAAAGCCCTCTTCTGTTCCTCATCAAAACTATAATAAGGGCTGGGAAAAGATGATTTGCATTGAAGCATTCTACTAAACAGCTCCCTGCTTCTAAAATAGCCTCTGGCCAAGCTCCAGCTTGTCCAAGGTAACTTGGCATTATCACAAGGAGGTGGTATTAACTGGAGTTAATGAAGAATAAGTGATGCTATTTTTTTATGTACAAGTGGAGAAGCCTGAGCACTCCTGTATTGCTTTCTATGGGTAGTGTGGACCCTATACACACTTTGTGTGCCACTGTAAATGTACAGCACTGATCTTCCCAGTGGGTTCTCCTCTTGACTTCCATTGGCAAGAAGGGTGTTACGGTGTCGAGTATGCAGCATTCATCAAAAGGGATTTTACTAGAGAAACAGGAGAAAGCATTATTCACAATTAGAAGCATGTTGATTTAAAAGCTGTTGTTGGAGGCTTTTTATGTAAACAGTTCTTACTGATTTAAAAAAAAAAAAAATTAAGCTGAAGGTCACCCTGATAATTTTATTCTCATTTCTTTACTATGCCCCATTTAACTAACTTTAGGTGGAATACTATAATAAAAAAACTTCAAAAGCCCCCCCCAAAAAAAAAAAAAAAAAAACCAACAAAAAACAAAAACAAAAAAAAAATAAACCAAAAAAAAAAAAACTGAAAGACTTAATACTTGTACCTTGAACATAACTGCTTGGTGAGGACTTCAGTATATCTGGGTGAACCATAGTAAACTTGCTTTTGAAGCCTCTCCCTATAGTTTTGGCTTGAATGGTAGCAGTGAACATGCCTGTAGGCATTAAAGTAGTGAACTTAGCAGGGTAATGCCTGTAATAATGAAAAACTTGGTTTAGGAACTAATTTCAGTCTTGTACTGCATTTGTCCCATAGTAGCCTTTGGCAGTTCAGACTGCCTTTCTGTTTGTCCCTTAGTTACAACTTCTGAAATGGATAATAAAACTTCACAAGTGAATTTCTGAGTAGAAGCTGGTATTAGGCAAAAAAGAAAAGCAAGTTAATTATGGAAAAATGGTTTCTAGCTGATGTTTTCACTGCTTGATTGAACTAATTGAAGAACTAAATAGAATAACTAAAATTGGCTATTTGCAGTTCAGTCATCTGAGTAATCTTGCTAATGAGTTAATATGCTTAGATGCTTGATATGATAGCAAGTGTGGTGGGAAGGGACATGGCTCTACCAGTGCCACCAAATATATGGATGGTGCTGGCAACCTCTTTGAAGATGAGGAATTTACAGCCTCTGATATCTTCCAGTAGAAGTGATGAATGAAGGCAGTGCTGTTCCTGGTATGCTCACAGGGGCTCAGGTAGGCTTTAAGGGGAAAGTAGGCCTGAACAATTTGTGGATTCCAATCAGTTCCTGGTGGAAAGAATACCAAGTTTGGAGCTGTGTGTCCAGAAAACAACACAATCCCAAGGCTCCTCCAGAAGTTCTTACTAATATAGTTACAACATGCAAATATACTGTGCTAAGGGTAGACAAGAACTAACACTGCAGAAGAGCTTTAGCTCTAGCTATACAGTGACTTAAAGCCAGAAAAACAGCAGTATGAGCTAGCAACACTATAGCTTCCAAACTATCTACAGCTACTGTTGTACACTATTAACTAGTTGTTTATGCCATCTGTACAGATGCTTAATACCTGACTTCATATAGGGTGCTGTCTCTCAAGTCCCTGAGTGGGAAGAGAATATGCCTGAAGGAGGGATACCTACACTTTATCATTGAAAGGTGAAGTTCTTTGAATTCTAAGTCAAATAGAAAACATTTAGAATTTTAAAAGTAATCTATGGAGTTGGCCAAGAAAGACCTCTAAGAGGAATCTGTAAGCTGCTGTGTTTGACTCAAAATTGTCTAGTCATAAATTAGTCCTGTGCATCTTAAAACAAGATCGCCAGAAAATTCTGGCAATAAAGAGGCTGGTGATGTGAACAGTTTCATACTTACATAGTTGATGCTGTCTACTCAAAGACTGGCAGAGGGATAGCATCTGCAATAGTTTCCACTGTGGAAACCTATTCTCTAGGTGACAGTAAGTGCTTAATACAAGGCTATGTGCTAACACAAACTGCTGTAGAGGAACAGTAGGCTGACACAATAGTGCAGCCTCCAGAAGAAACTGCAGTGTGACTACAGTGTCTGCATGTGAAGCAAGGTAAACTATCTTTTATGCTGATGCTGCACTGTTTTGGCTGGATCAAACAGTGCTGCTCTTCAGACATGCCCTGAGGAAAATGAACTACATGAAAGTCGCTCTTAATCACCCTCAGCTGATCCCCCTGTGTTGAATAAGCATTGCAGAACTAAGGTGATCGTGATAAATCATACACTTCTCTGGCTGCAGTGGGCACACAGCCCTGCTGAGGGTGTGTGGTGTGGTCAGGTTTGGTTTTACTACTTAGGCAAAACTGGGTCTGCAGAACTTGGCTGGCTGTATCAGATACACTACAAACTATTGATTGTAGTTTACAGGGCTGGAAATGTAACCACAGTGTCTGCAAGTTATGTGACACTGGATTCTAATGACATGTGCTAAACTCTGTGGTCCTTGCTGAAATGGTGATACACATGGGTCTGTTATTCCATGACACATTCAGGAACAAGCTTATTCTCTGGCTTGAGCTGTCTTGGTAAGGATCCTGCACTGTAATTGCCTGGACTCGTGTTGAAATGAAGGTGAGACTTTTGATGCAGTTGAGTGACACTCACTGTAACCCAGTGGTCCTGGGTCAGGGTGGGTTAAGAGCGACTTCTGAGGGGTTTTTGTATGAAGATGCTGTACTTGCAGCTGAGACTGCAGCAGTGATGGTGACAAGGGGCTTTTCCTGGGCAGGTGTATGTAACTCTCAACAGACTGGCAGCCAGAAGATACTCCTGTTAGCCCACTGTCAGCCAGTGGGTACAAGTCCAGAGAAAGGCACATGTGCACTTAGAGCTGGCCTTACAACCTCTAAGGACTGACCTTTTGTACCTGAAATGGCAGCACTGAGCCCTAACCTGATTTTTACAGTAGTACAGAGGTAGGAGATATTCATGGGTAGGACTGGCTCTAGTCTCTACTATATAGTAGTCTTGCACGAGTTTGTGTTTTGTTGAAGAGCTAGTGTAGTAGGAAAGAAGCAAGTCATTCATTCATTACCTTTTAGGTCCTAAAAGTTGAAGGAAGGAAAGTGAAGCTATCACCTTTGTAAACAGTAACTTTGAAACTAAAGACAAGGCTCACAGGACTTTTTAAAATAGGGTTGTGAATTTGGAAGAAGTAGGAAAAGACATTACTTGTATTTTTTTCCTGCAAACTAAGGAAGTCTTGGAGCTCCTCCAGTTTTCTGCTGCTGCCCCTCTTCCATCTGCAGTCCTAACAGATTATGCTTCTCTTATGTTTTTAAAGCCACTAAGAGGAGGAGAAGCTTCCATTGTGCTTTGTTAGTCTTAAATACAGCTCTACCTGCTTTTCATAAAAATAGAAACAGATGTTTAATGTGCTCAATGAAAAATTAATTACCATGTATTCAGCCCTTGTAAGCAGACCAGTGTTATGGACAGACTTATAGTAAGGCATCAGCACTGCAATTACCTTCACAATTAGGTTACCAATCCTGGAATTGTTAGTATATAAGAAGGATGATTGTAAATTAGATTTTTAAAAAGGCCAGACAGCCAAATGTACTGTTTCTGTAGGATTCCTTGAGGAAAACTAAAGGTAGCTGAATTGCTACCATGTCATGGATTTGAGATTTCACTTGTGATACAGCATTTGTATGAACAATCTTAAATCTCCCTGTGCTAAACTATAATTCCATAGAGCTTTCAGTCTTGTCTTGCACCTCCTAGTGAAAATTACCTCTTAGTAGGCTCCTATCTCAAGCATGTCAGGAGCCAAAAATGGTTCTGTGATTCTAAGACTGAGCAGCATAAAGCACTGGAGTACAAGAGGATCACATGCCCTTGTGGACAATACCAGCCATGCATATAATCTTGCTGAGTGCAGTAAATCTGCACAAATTCATTATTTATTTTTAACCCTGCAGGAGTTTGACGATGCATCAAGACTAATAGTGAGAACAGAAAAATCTCCTAAAGAAGAGGACAGCTATTTGCCATGTCTATCACAGATCACAGCCCCACCACTGGAGTGGTGACTGTCATCGTTATCCTGATTGCTATTGCAGCTCTGGGAGCCCTGATTCTGGGCTGCTGGTGCTACCTGCGGCTGCAGAAGCTCAGCCAGTGTGAGGATGAGGAAAGTATTGTGGGTGAGGGAGAAACCAAAGAGCCCTTTCTGCTGGTGCAGTACTCTGCTAAAGGACCCTGCGTGGAGAGGAAAGCAAAGCTAACTCCAAATGGCCCAGAAGTACACAGCTAACTCAGAATGACACGTGTGGATAGGCTATGCTCATGATGTGTAACCAGCAGAAGCATCTCAATACTGTGAAGAACCTGGTCATGTATAAACTACTCATCAGAAAACACCTTGATGAGAATTAGATAAGCTTTGTTTGCAACTGCATGCACTGAGAAGTTGCATTTTGCATCAACTGTGTATCCTAATTCCTCTATGGCAGGAGCTGACTCACCTAGTGTAATGTCCATTGCCGGCAATGGGCACAGGGATATACTGGTGTGAAGAGACTACTACTGTTTTTTGTTACTTGAATGTTGAGCTGAGCCTATTTTGATGGAGCTACTACTGTAATGTGAACTACTTTACAACTGTGAACTGTAAATAGGCTGCCAGAAACTTCTTGCTTTGTGTTCTGTAGCATATGAAAATGTGATGTGTATATAATACACAGGGACTTCTGAACCACTACCATGGATGGGACTCCAGACCTTCAAAACCATATCTGCAGTTAAAGCTTGCTTCTGCTACTAGATTGAGTGTGCAGCCATTAAGTCAGAACTCCTCCTTTGAAGAGTTTATTGCACTGATGCAGAGTACTTCATTTGAAAAGAAGGGATAAGCCTTCACTAATATGCTGATGGAGGAAACAAAGGAGCAAGAAAGGAAAAGTTCCTTTAGCTGCAGCTATGTTGGTTAAGCTTTTGGCAGCTAGAACTGAGTTCTCTATGTAGCCACTGCAAGGAAACTGCTATTTTGATGGGTTCCAACCTGGGAACTTATGATGGATACTAAACCCTCAGGGAATGTCCAGATGGTTTCCAGGTGTTTGAAATGGCAGTAGAGCAGGCCTCTGTCTTCCGTAGGTCTGTGTGCTGAAACTGCGTAAGTGGTTATTTAGCAAAACTGGCTTAAGTGCAACTAGTATGAATTCTTCCTAGAACCCTGGTTTGTGTACTTAGGGTGTATGTTAACAGCCTGTTACAAAAAGGCATTTTGTAATACATACAGCCAGACAACTCTAGAATTCAGTTAATGTATCTTGTATATAACTTTTGATGGAACTGTACTACAACAGGAGAAGTTTCAGCCTTTTCTACTGTTGATAGGGGCAATGGTTATTGCTGGTCAGTTTGTAGAAGTTCTTAGGTAGCAATGGCCAAGTGCTTCCAGATAACATGTATTTCCTACTCTGTCCTGGAGTTCAGCTATAGGAACTGTAGAAAGGTGTTAAATGGGAAGCTCTGGACTGCAAAGAATTGGGGGTAGGAGGAGGAAAAACACTGAGCAGCCAATGGCAGCTTCTGTATTCTAAAATTCTTTGTGTAGGCATACATGCTTAGAGGTCACTGGCCAGTTTTCTATTACTTTATAAATGGCCTCCTTTGCATACTGATGTTTTTAAACACTTAATTGCCTAGCCTTAATTCAGCTCCAGAGGAAGCATTAGACTTGCTTCTTGTACATATGGAATAACTTAAGGCCTAGCAAGCTTGCTTGAGAATTTTAACTATATGCAAGACAAGAATGGCCTAGACAAAAAGTTCTACACCAAGATGTTGAATTGCTTTCTTAGTATTACATTTGCCTTTTTAAAATTGAAAGCTGTAATTTGAAGCAAAAAATGCTGTCAGTAGTAAAAAGCACCTGCTGTTGCCTCTTGAGTACAACATAGGGGTACAGCTGATAATGTTCTTACCCTGACACATGCTTTTTAAAATATTGCTCTCAAGAGACTTGCATGTATAGTCAGACCTGTACACTTAAATAGCTGTATTTGAGACCTCTTAAAAGCAAAGAAAAAAAGGATTAATTCAGTAAGATTTCCCCCAGTTTTCAGCAGAGAAGAGTTCACACATGCCTCTTCTGGTTTCCAAGGTCAGAATACCAGTATACAAAAGTGATACAAAGTGCTGAAGTTCGAGAACAGAACAGCTGTAGCAAGATGACTTTGTCCATTCAAGTTTACTGATTACACAGATGAAGTATGTATTTTAATTCAGCAGAGAGAATGCAGTGTAAAGGGCAAATATCAGAAATTATGGAAAAGTATAAATCAAAGGTCTGATTTCCCTTCTAGCAGCTGTAAGAGAGAGCCAGTGAAAACAACTGGTCCTTAGTCAGAGGTGCTGCACACTGCTGCCCCTACAAACCAGTATCTTTCATTTAAATGGATAGGTGTTTGTAAGTTAGTGCAATAGTAAAGTGCAGAAAGTGTTTTCCATTCTCCTCTTAAGATGGGGGTATCTAATAAGTTGTTCAAGTATACAAAAATATTCAATTTGATTTTTCTTTTTCTAGATCATGTGGGGAAAGTCTTTATTTACAATGAATGTCAATAAAATTTGCATAAATGCCTACCCAATACTGCATCACTTGACTTTGTGTGTGCAATTATTCTGTCCTATTTCCACTACTGTGCTCTGTCTCTATGGTATCAATATTATCAATCCTTTTTTCCTCTAAAGGAGCAGTAGCTGTTGAAAGTGATATGTCATTATCTTCAGAAAGTGTTTCCTCAGATTGAAGGGGTTCTTCAATTTCATCTTTGCTCTGTAGCTTTCCTCCTCTTGATGCCACCAGAATTCTCAGTAAAGCATTTTCTTTAAGGAGGTTTTCTGATGCATCAGCTAATTCTTGAAGCTTTTCAGCCATTTCTAACAATTCTTGATTCTTCTGGTCATGTGTAGCCTGTAACTGCTCACTGTGGAGCTGCAGTGTCTTGTGCTGCTTTTCCAGTGTGTGTTTTTGCTGCTGTAGTCTCTGTTCCTCTCTCCTGGCTTCAGAAAGCTGTGCTTCAAGCTGGTCATGGGCATGATGAAGGGCACTGATTTCTGATCTTAACTTCTGAATTTCTCTCTCTAAGTGTGAGATGTGTCCTTGCTGTAGAACTGACTCTTTATGTAGGCATTCTTTGGTACAGGGCTCTGACGAAGAAAGACTTGAATGATGTAAAATAAATTTCAGGAGATTAGGAAGGTTAACTGAAAAATCTTCAGGGAACTTCACACTTTGCTCCTTCCTAGAAGGACATAACAAGTTAATAGTAAAGTACTCTGGAAGGTTAAGCATAATTTTACCTAAGCATCTGCTGTTTAACTCCAACTTGATACCTTATTTTTTATCAAGTACAGTTAGTATCAGCAGCTAAGAGAAACCTAAACTCATGTAATAGAGATAGATTACACAGATTTTCTTTTGATGTTCACTTTTCCCTGTGTTCCAATCTGGGTGCTCTAAGCATCTCTGCATCGGACTGGTATTTGAAGAAAAAATTCTGTTAAATCGCAGAAAACAGATTTCGTTCTTAAAAAGTAAGTATTCATCATCATGAGTTATGAGCTTCATGTATATAGGGAAACATCACTGTATGATCAGAGTACAGTGCCATTAGTATTTGTAAACTGAAGGATGATGTTTAAATGTTCCTAAGTCTACATATATTATTAGAATTTAAGTCCAGATATATACAGCTACCCACTGGGAAATCACTATTTTGAACCTGTTTTCCTGGAAGCAGTAGCTTAGTGAGTGCCAGCACCTGAAAGCCATGGCAAGGGAGCAGTTTGCTTTTAAACAGTAAGTTACTTTAGTCAGAAGGCCTGCCAAAAAAAAAACCAAACAACCTCCTTACTTTCTCCTCTTACTGCTTTGTCTGTATGTAAGAGGTGATGAAGGAAGCAAACCAAACAAGATTTTTCTGATTTTTCTGTTGGTGTATTACCCCTGTAAAGCTGTGAATCCGCAGGTAAGCCTCCTTACTTTCTACAACAACATAAACTGTTACAACAAGGGAGGCCAAGGACAGCAAGTACCAAATTTCTTCCTCAAGACTATCAACCACTAAAAAACACCAGCTCCAGCTGTGACAAATGTTACAGTTACTGCCCTTTGTGAACCATGTGCACATATACCAGGCTAAACTGTCCTCTAAGGACTAGACTGGAACTGACTCTTGCTCTTTTCTTTCTGAACCAGTTCCATCTTCAGCCTTTCACTCAGCATGTTCCAGTATAACACAATTTCACTTCCTCAGGCAGCACAGCCACTTCCACCTCACCTTGTACAACTGGGAAGCCACCTAATAGCTTAGCACTTTAGGTCTGCTCCAGCTTTGCCAGTCAGCAGCATATTCTCTCTTTCCTGAGGCAGCCATCAAAACAAGGAAGAAAAGCTTTGTTTGCTTCCACCTGGCTGTCAAATTCATGACTACAGTAATGGTAAGTAGCATACATTCAGATATGGTTAATTATACAAGTGAGAAAAGGAACAGAGAATAAGCCCAAACAAAAAAAATATTGCAAAGTAATAAACCAGATTGAAGTATAAAGCATAAAGCCTCCTGGTGCTCCTGTACAACACACACCATGGACAACTGTTGTGTGCCCTTGCATGTGACATTATGTGCTGAATTGGTTACAATGTGCATCTGGAACAGGGAGTTCCTTTGTTACCAACTACACATCCCTCAAAAATGCCTTCTGTAAAATCCAACTCATAAACGTGGGATATAAAAACATTTCATTTCATTTACTGAAAACTACTTACTGTACATCAGGTAGAAGACAGAAACCATACTTTATCAATAATTCAAGAACTTCAGTAAGATGAGGCTCCTGCTCATCAAGATTAAGCTATTTCTGGCAGAATGAACACCATGAGTTTTCCTCCCCTGCAGATTCCTGGTGATGAACCAAGTTACTCTTGTAATTACCATCACCAGTTGTTCAGCTGACTATCAGCTCTCATCCCAGATTAATGAATCATGACATAATTTAGGCAAAAAATAGTCTACGCTAAATCAAAACTGACTCACTATATTATGGTAATGTTTTATTACATCATCATCCATTTTTATTGATCAAAACCACAGCATGTATCAAAGAAGCTAAAAGGCTATTTAGAACAAATAGAACAAAATATTAACAGCATGTGGTGGAAAGAAATTGAGAAGAGTTAATCTGCAAAAATTGTCTCATAAGGCAAATGGATAAGAAGCTGCATAAAAGGCCTTAATATGAGGCACCTTTATATCCAAAATTAATATACTCTAGTAGTCCTACAGGTACTACAAATACTATCAGATCCTAATTTTCTTGATTACCTACAAGCACCAAAATATAAAAAACACTGGAGAGGAAAAGCAGGAGTAAAAGCAATGACTAAAGGTAAGGTACCTTTATAAAGCCAGTTGGAACATTATGAAAATAATAAAATTACTCAGTCTGTCCCTCCAGGGTTTGTCTAGAGAATTACAGAGACTGAGACAAAATGAGTACTTACAAAAAGAAACAGGGAGCCAATCAGTTGGAAGCTTGGGTGGCTCAGAACTGATATAAACAAAACTCTTTCTGTACTGGATTAAAACATGAATGGCAAAACTTAAGGCATAGGTTTAGAGATTTTGTGGTAGGTAACTGCCCAGTACCAGCAGACTGAATTCCCATTTGCTGATGGTTAAGAGCCCTTGAGGGAGAAGAGTGGAAATCTGTGAGTGTTGCTTGGGTTATTCCGTTGTTTTGCTGGTGGTTTTTCATTAGAATATGTATGTGGTAAGAATGCGTATACGGAAATGAATTACTCTTTGGCTTTTTTCTCTACTAAGACACTTAACCAGATAATTACTGCAGCTCAGTAAAACAAGTTAAAAAACCACAGGGACAAGAATTACATTACCTCTGATGAGGGAAAAATAAAATGGTTGGGAGACGGTCTGTCATAAATTCCCAGGGAAGGTCATTTCGAGTCACATCAATTCTGTGAGGAAAAGACACACTGATGAAGAGAACAGGCAGATGAACAATCTGCATTTTCTTGTAAAATGCCATTTCAGGGACTGGGAAGAAGGAAATTAAGTATCTGTGAAAGTAAGTCTCAAAGTGTTCTGCCAGAAATACATTGCACATATGAGTCAGCAGAATTAATTACCAATATTCAAGATGATGACTCTCAGTTTAACAAATATCTGTGTGGTTTTTTCTCTAGAATAGTATGTTCAATACTGCAACTGCTCTCAGCCAGCAATTCAACCCCAGTTGCTCACTGTGTACACACAGTGCACACATTGTGTACACATCTTCCTTCTGAGATAGACACACCAAACATGAGACAAGTTATTTTTAGTTATTCATTTGCTCCTCAAGTACATCTCTTAATATTGTCCCTTCAAGTAGTGTTGGGTGTAAGTTATTTTGCTTCTTCCAAGGACAAGCACATGCTTAAAGGCGCTTTTTTCCCTAAAGCTATGAGTAGAAAGGAACACTTGGTTCAACTGTTTGTTACTGGTTTTTTCTGCATTTTAGGGCTTCTTTTCACAAACCAATTTCTTATTAATTACAAATTATTACAGAACAAAACAGACAATCACATCAGTAATACTGCTGTGAAAATAATGGAGCAAAGGAGAGAACTGTAGCCTTGGGAATAGCATCACATCTGTGGCAATAAAGCCACAATTACAAACAGGGGATGAAAATCCAGATTTTTGATTGATTTATTTTTTCTCTACATCTCATGCTGTCTTCTGGAATAAATTCAGTCATAATCAAATAAAGGTGCAGATGTTTTAAGTATTTATGCATTATTATTACAACATACATGAACAAGAATATTTCAGCTGCACTGAAAACATTAATAACCCTGGAAACACCAAAGAAAACAATGGGGTTTTTACATATAAAATGTATTTACCATATATATTAAAAATATACATTACATACATGCAAATATAGATGTATTTCTGTAAACTGGTTTGGCTGGGGTAGAGTTCATTATCATAGGATGTAGGTTCCTATTTTAGATTTGTGATGCAAATGGTGTTGCTAACAAATATATATATACAAACAAATAGCATATTACTATTTGCTACAAATCATCACGAAGTTATGGATTCCTGAAATTAGAAAGTTTCAAGGTTAATTGCACAGTTTAAAAATAAATTTTAATGAAAGTGGATAACTACAGTATTGAGATTGAAAACCACCAAATATATACAAAGGAAAACAAAACAATGCATTCAAAGAGAAATTAAGCAGATGACATTCACATCTATATTGCACAGTTGTAGAGAGAAAAAAGTATTTATTTTCTAGGCTAATAACCTCAATCATCTTACATTATTCTGGAAAGATGAAATGAGAATCTTTTTACCTTGCCACAGTGTAACTGTCAGGAGGCAAAAGCCGAGCAAGTTGAATAAAGATGTGATTAAGAGAAGCACAGAATCCACACCACTGTGCATAATACAGCAGCAAGACATTCTGGAAAATGAAATGGAGAAGAGTCTGATTATCTATTGGAGATAATCTGCAAAAAGAAGGACTAGTTTTCACACCATCTACCATGGGAACTCTTGAAATGTGAAAG